ATTTTTGAAGAAAGAATTGAATTATTGAGTAGATCAAAATTACACTTTAATGTGGTATATGAATAACAAAAAAAAATATTTAATAACCTACATTCCCGAGAGCGTTAAAATTTCTTGTTCTCATTGTAACTAATAAAATTAGCCCTTTTGTTGTTGGTCTTACAAAATGTTTGATTAATTAAACTGGCTATTATTCATGTTACTTGTAGCTATGCCACAAAATAAACACTTATGATTGTTCATTGTTCCTTTTGACAAATCTCGACTAATTGTACTATTTACCTAATTTCATATTCAAAATGAGTGATAACAAGAAACCAACAGAAGATAAAGTGCCGTTTAAAGCTACTATGAGTATGCCTGCGTTGAACGTACGTGGAAACAAAGGCGACGTGTATGGAAAAGGACAATGGTGCGGGGAGGGTAAGAATCCACGTCTCTCAACTGTTAAAACTATGGGCAGCTATGAAATAGATGGGAAACCGGCAGACCCAAATAAACCTAGCCCATTAACTAAACAAGATATAGGAGAACACGATGGAAAGTTTTGATATTCCTAATGCAAACATTAATTTGAAAATAATCCATAAGCTTAATTATATTAATTGATTTAATTTAATTTAAATACATAAATAAAATCATTCACGAGTGATATAATGTATAAATTTATTTTACCATTTTACGTGTTGATATAACTGATTATACAACAATAAGTATCATACTGGTGTTTAATTCTAACATAATGAATATTAAGTCTAAGTATACTATTAAATTAGTAGATATTTAAAGTAAAAATACAATATATTTGTTATAGCAGCTACGAGTGATAGATTTAAAACGCTGACTAAGAAGAGTAATACAATTAATTGGAGATAACTGAGTAAAAATCTGGTGATCTTATTATTATTATTATTTTTTTGTATAATCGGTAGAACAAAAATAGTTTTATCTAAGCTTCAACGTGTAAGACAGTCCGATTGTATGAGTACGCAATGGGTAATGAATTAGGATATACGTGATCAAAATGAAACAGACTTCATTTATACCCAATTCGGCAAAACAAAATATAACAGAAACAAACAAATTGTGCAAGTTTTATCGGTACTCGTAGTAGTATTTGTTATCTAGATGTTAATCGAAAGTTTTAAGCTACTTGAAACTCTCCAAGGCATCTGGTTGACTGTTTATCGTCACATCAACGTTCAGGTGAACGATATAGGTACCCATATACATGCTTACTATAATTCTATACTGTGCATATACATTTCTTTACATATCATAATTCGTTTTATATTTCCCGACGAGAGTGCTCGTCGTCTGGACAGTGGCCAAACTGAATCCTTAAACCCGTTCATGAATCATACGTAAAAAAGGACGTGTCCATATCTTATGTCGCGTACAGATCGTTTGTGTGACAGCTCTGCCTTCCAAATTACGTGGCAAGTATGATACGATATGGTGTACGGTTATTTCGAGGTCAATCATTTGGACGTGACTAAACTCAACCACCAAAATCCATACTAAAATGATTTATAGCACTCACGAACCGTAAAACATACTAAATCCACAATTATATGAAATTTGTTAATCAACATAAGAATTAAATCTTCTGATTTAAAAAAATTTAATGACTAGGAATTTAATTTAAAGATTAATATAAATTAATCATACTTTTGAAAACAAAAGCTGAAATTAATTTCTGTGGTAGAATAAGCATTAGAACATTTTTTCTACATTTATGTATTGAAAAATATTTTCATGATATACAAACAATTCATTAATTATTATAAATGTTATGAAACATGCCTATAATTCTTTGAATATATAAATAATAAAGCCTATTTAATTGTACATTTTAAATAAATAATTATATAACATATCAAGATATATCTTTTTACATTATTTTACCAAGATAATGTAATTAACTACTGAGTAGATTGTAAATATTAAGTTTTAATTTTATTTCTTCGCGAAAATACACTGTTACATATCAAAACAATGGTAAATTATCTATGTATAATTTACAGATATTTTATATAGAATTTTTCTAAAATTCCTTTTGTTGATTTTTTTATATGTAGTAATTTATTTATATTTATTGTAGTACTGTTATCATTATCATTATATACTGTAGATAAAATTTCGTTTGTTAAGAAACACAATTGAGTATTTATTGGTTTTAAAAGAGTTTAAAACACATGCGCTATTTCATAGTTTATAGAGTACATTTTTTGAATAAATAAATAAATCTCATAAAAAACTATGGGTGGTAAATATGTTTTAAATATATTACAATTGATATAATTTTTGTTGAAATCTTTTAGAAATTAGTATCTTATCACCTTAAAAAAATTATCCTTTTAAAGTAATTTTATCATTAACAATTTGTTCAATGTAAATGTTCAATCAATAAAATGGATTCAGTTCGTAGTGAACGATAAACGGTCGTTTCGCACTGCCAAATGACCATAACAATATTTTGAAGCAGTAGTTGTAAAGGAAACTTAAAAAAATATATTTGACACTTCGTCATTTCAACAAAACCCCAAGGGTAGCCGCCTTAATACAATCAACGCCTCAGTCAGTGCACACAATGAGAGGCTGATTATAAACCAACGTCGATAGTGAGGTTTACGATAACTATTTGAAATGAAGCGATTGGGAGAGGGATAAAATGAATTTTTTTTTATTTTAAAATGACGAAAGAACTTTCATTTGCAGTTCGTGTCAATAGACCGCTGATTTTCAACACGCAAATTTAGGCGTAAAACGGATTACTTTTAGAGGGGTTGTGTCCAACGTGATGACTTATCGTGAAGGGCTTCAAGGGACCGAGCGACCGCGTGTTGGCAGCGACGTTCTTCGGCACAGACTGTGGATCAGCAAACGCCCAAGAAACCCAAAACGTATCAAGAACATTCGGGTGGTACGTATAAATTTCTTTTCTATTTTTCCGACCTATTATTATTCCCCTCTCTCGGTCTCGTTTATTCTTGGTCCAATATGTATGTATTCAAAAATTATTATTCAACGAGTGATGGTTGCCGTTTCATTTGCAAACCTCGCAAGCTAATTACCAAGTTAATACGAGATCTCGTAATATAACCATGTTTTACCCGAGTCGTCTCACTGAAATATATAAACGAAGTCAGTAAAGCGCCTCATACAAGTTTCATAAATGGCGAAAGGTAGTGCCCAATAGTATATGGAAACAGCACATCAAAAGGCCAACGTATAATATTGCAATAGCCTTTGCATGTGCGTTGGTAGACACTTACTTAGCCTAATCAACAAGTCACTCATGTAAAAGACAAAACCATCTGTTTTACGTCAAATAATAGATTGTGTGATTCGTTCCAAATTAAATTTATATTGACTCAATAATGGATATTTGTAAAAAACGTTTTTCATACAAATAAAGACAAATCATAATTAATTTAATGATGATACAATATATTGAACAATATAATAATACTTAATTGTAGACAAGTTCAGTAATTATAATTTATCCATAGAACCAAAACTAGGGTAAAAAAAATGCCAAGTACTAGCTCTGATAAAGTATAAAGAAGTTTTTTTATAATTTTACTTTTCATATTTTTTGAATTTCTAAGTAAAGGTATAGAAAATATTAACTCTCATCACATTAACCATCTAAGATTTTATACTGATGGATTTTAAATGAATAAATGTTTTTGTACCCCACTCCATATTTATTTTAAATAATTCCTTTTTTTAGTTTAGTGGGTTTAAGTAAAACACCATCTTTAAATATGCCACTGATTCAAATTTCGCGATGAATAAATTTTATTTCATAAAAATGAATACTCAACACCTAATTCTTAAATTTATAATATGCAGAATGAATATTATAAAAAACAACGATAGTAATATCGAATTCGATAGAGTTGGGCAGTAATAAAAAAAACATACAATGATTTTCTCCCTATGCTTGAATAATCAATCAAAAAAAAAAAACTGAAAATAATACCCGTTTTGTCCGCTGTCTTTTTTTGCGCTCCATCCATCATAGCCCACATAAAAGTTCTGCCGTCAACAATTGTGTGTTTGTTTTTTAAAGAAAAACTTCTCGAGGTCCACTTATTTATACATTCCTCTTCCTCAACTCCACCAACGGGAGCTTCGAGTTTCTCTTTCGGAAAGCATTATTATGCACTTTAAACATTTTTATATAAACTGTAACAGCCTTATGTTAAACCATCACTACACTTTACCTTTATAACCTAGCTCTTATCTCCTCGAAAACCCTTTTTGACAAAAACGTTAAGTTCACTTGCTTTTGTATTCGGGTGTGTTTTTTCTCATACATTTTAACAATATTTAAATTTTAATATCACCATTGTATTTAATAACTTATCAGTATTTGATTTTAATTCTTATTTTTATAAAAAGACAAATAATTGCTTTTTCAAGAAATTATCTTCGAAGTAGATAATTATTTACTGTACAAATTTATTATTATAAATATTTACTGTTAAACATAAATTCTTTTCACTCTATGTAACAAATACGCATTATTGGTCAAAATATATTAAAATTAAATACAAAATAATGTAAACATTTTTTCTGTTTACTTAACAGCAATATTTATTATTATTAGTATGATTTCATGATACATATTACCATCAGCACTAAAAAAATTAATCGATTTAAAAAATTTGTCTTAAAAAAATCTAGTTAGTTTTTAAAAATCAAATGATATTCATTTTACTTTAACCCTAAAATTTTTTATTTTAAAGCAGTTTCAATACTATCAATATTACTTTGAGTATAACTAATACCGACCGTTTGTTTAGGATAACAACATAACTTTAATTAATAGCATCCAAAATCGAGTAAGAACTAATTATATAAAAATCAATGTTAAAAATACATTTTTTTTAAATAATTTATTTTATTCTTAAGATGATACATACTACAGTTTTATCAAATAGCTAGTTTGTGTAAAAAATAATAATTACAATATTAAATTTCATTCATTACATTAGACATAATCTATGCATTATTTACAAAAAAATATTACAACTTTAGGAATTTGATCTCAATAAAAAAAAAATTTTCTGTTAAATGAACACATTACATTTAAAATTTTTACATGAAAAATTCAATGTTACACAGTGATTACTAACTATTTACTAATTTATTGATTGAATTTATTTGTCAATAGGTAATAGTCTACATTAATATAAGTGCCATATTACATTGTACTATAGAACAATATACTATTATTATAATGTTTAATTTCTACTAAAAAGTTTAATTTTATAACATAATTTAACATTTAAGTTAAAATGAAGTACTGTGAAAAAATATAATATAAATTTAAAGATATATTATACAATAACAAAAATTAAGTAAGTCACTATATGAATAACCATATTAATAAAAAAAATCTTAATCTGATTCATTATACCTATACCGCATCATTTTCTTAACACAATCTTTGTATGTTTCACGTGGACCAGGAACCACGCCTACTGCCCTAGTACCAAGCCCGGCATTCGCTAGTCTTCCTTCTGCTTCTATAATTGTTGTACGACCTTGATTCGTTTTTCCCAAACCCATTCCTTCTTGCCATCCCATTTTTTGTAACAATTTGTTACCTTTATTATCAGATCCGATACCCATTTTAGTAGGTTGTTCGTAATCTACATTAGCTTCTTTAGCTTTCATGTACTTATCTTTTAAATGATTAACCGGTTTATCTGGTTCATTGTACTTCATTCGCCTTTCTTTAGCTCTATCTCTATACTGAATAACACGTTTGAATTCATCGTCAGGATCTAATCCTCTTTCTTTATACCAATTTTTCAGATTCTGTTTGTGCAAGTCAGACATCTGTTGATGTTTAATTAGTATTTCTTTGCTGCCAAATTGTCTCTTACACAGTAAACAAGCAAGTTTGTTCCAGTCAGTATGTTGTTCATCTTCATTACGATTCGCTTCTTCTATAACATCATTATCGTTGTCACTAGTTTCTTCGACAGGTGCTGGAGTGGTTGGAACTATAACAGGCGCAGAACGTTTTTCAACTTTAGTGCCTAATACACTATAACCTATATCTGCAGCGGCTTGCATTTTGGCTGCTTGAGTCGCTACTTGGGCAGATACAATGTTCTGTTTTGCATTAACTTTTTTTTGGTTCAAAGTTTTAGCCCACTTTTCCATATCTTTTGCTATTCGTTTTGCAACTTTCACTTTGTCGTCATCTTTAGTCTTTTCTTCAGTTGGTGCGTCTTCTTTAGTAGATTCTCCGCTAGCACCATTTTTGTCGTTCGTTGGTGCTAATAAATATGAACTTTTCGTACTGTCCCAATAAAGGTAATTATTAGTAGATGGATTAAAATAATATTGAGAGTTAGCATCATAGTAAAGTTTTGTGTATGGGTCATAATAATATCCAGATGTACTATCGTATTGATAAGTAGATACATCAGGCAAAGGATACGTTGTGTCTCCTTTACCAGAAGGTGGATTACCTAATGGTACAATAGGTTTGACTATACCTACAGGCATTATCGGTACTATTTGCGGCATCATAATTGCACCTACTTGCATAGAAGGTGTAACTGATGAAATTGTTGGAAGAGTTATAGATTCACCTTTTTGAATTTTTTCCATAAAATAATTAGTATAATATTGAATATATGATGTACGTTCAGCTGGAGTTTTGGCGTACATGTTTGCACTGTACTCCGCAAGCTTAGGAATATCCGCAGCTGTATAACTAGGTGTTTCTGGTTTTTGGTTACTCCATTTAGCCGCTTCAACTGCAGCGTTTCCCATCGAAGCTGTAGCTATCGGACCAACAGGTGTTAATTTACAGTATGAAACAAGCACCTCTTTTCCATCAATTAATAACGGATCTTCGACAACTAACGCATTATGGAGATACATGGCATCCACGACATTATTCATTTCCAAATAACAAATACCCTTAGACACATTGGTGACGTGATTACGACCGATTCTCACACTACGAATTGGCAATGTAGATAGAGTTTGAATAGCTTTCAAAACATTTTCTTCGGTTGTCGAAAGATCTAACCCTCTTAATAAGACTGTGTGCGTAGGGAATGAGCTAACTTCTTTGGAATGATCAAAAATTTCACCACTTTCTCTGGAAGCACCACAAACAAAGCAACTCTCTCGACGTTTAAAATTATGAGCATTACATTTACACCACCAATCAGATAGCATTTTTTCAGGATCAATTTTTGAAATAGTATATTGCATTATTGCACGAAAACTGTCCCTTAACATCAGTTCCCCTTGTTTAGATTCCATAAGCGTTTCTGCTTCGGCTTTGGTGAAAAATTCTACAAATGCGAACCCACGAGATGATCCAGTATCTTTTTTTCTGATTAGCCTAATATCAACTGGTGTTAGTCCACACTTTAATATTTCTTTTCTAATATCACTTTCAGAAATATGGGGGGCTAACCCACGAATAATAATAGTTTTATTTGGTATTTGCTTTTTAAATGTATATCTATCGAAATCTTCTTCGCGGTAATATTCGTGAGACGAGTCATGATTCCTTCTTGTATCAACGGTATCATGATAGCGGCGATTACTAGACGATTGGTCTGAATAAATATTTCTTACTCTATGGCCATCTGAACCATCAGTACTCCTTGAACGTCGTTTGCGACGCTCATCATCACTACTATACTGGCTTGTTTGCGAATCACGTTCCCCGGGAGAATAACGGCTTCGACGCCTTGGAGTTCTAGATCTAGATCTAGATCTACTTCTACTTCTAGACCTATGATGTTTCTTATGCTTACTTCGTCTCTTGCTCTTGTGTCTGCTTGAGCTCCGATCACGCTTATTTTTATGATTGTATTCACGGCTACGACTACGCTCCTTACTTTTATCTCTATCCTGAATTTTCAGCAAATTTGTTTTAATATCGCCAGATTCTACATTGTTATCGTTATTAGCACTAAAATAAGACCCATTAGAACGGGGCGATGAATCATATGCAACGAGGTCCATCTCAACACTGCGTCTGGTAGGAGGACTATTTTCATCCGCGGAATCATACCCACAGGTATCTTTGACTACATATTCCTCATCCATCTTTGAAATGAAACAAAAAATAAGATTTTAATTAGTTTAATAAAAATATAATATAATATTAAGTTCCACAAACGCCGTCGGTCCCTTTTACGACCTTCTTCAGAACTAATGTTCTTATACTTACCACATAATGATAAAAGAAGACAAAGAAAAATAACAGTTTGGTTAACTCAACATCAATTATATCACAATTTCTTATATGAATAAAGATTTATATAAATATAAATATAGGTATTTATATATTTTTGTAAATAATAAATACTTATTTTTTTTAATTTTTATCATACAATGAACATAAATTTTGATTAGGTAGTGAACAAATAATTTATAATATTTAATAAAATACTTTCATAGAAAAGTTTTAACTAAAGATAAATTAATAATATGCAACCCCTACCTCAAGCAGAAATCTCTTAATGTAGTAAAGGCAACGTAGAGTTAAACTTCTTCCTGATAATTTTGAGGAATATCGAATGATCTGTAATACAATTTGTAAAGTAACTGAATTGTTTAATAAAAAATAAAAACATGAACAAACGACACTACGTCAATTATGACGACCAATCTGTCAGAAGTTCAAAATGAAATTGAGACACATGTTCGAAACACAGTAATGATTATGAGGTGCTTTGTCTATACTTGACTAACCTTTAAATTAATTAGAATAAGTTGAAAACTAGTTTCGATCAGCTTATTAGTTCTTTTAGTTCGCGTTACAGCTCATTTGATTGATGAAATAATCTGCAATACATTATGATGACTATAATATAAATGTATTTATCAAGATATCGGTAAAGTCTGATAATTAATCTTCAACGGATCTGAAACCTTCAATTGCCAAGACACACTCAAATTGTACGCGGAATGTTTTAAAAATAAGTGAAATTATTTCATATTAACTTAACTAATTTAATAATAATGTAAAACTCTATCAAAATATACTGGATTGCAATATTAAAAAAATTTCATAATTAACCTTTAATAAAACATTTTTCAAGTATATTTATGTTAAAAATCAATACTCAAATAGTTCAAAAATTTCTATTTTTTAAATATTATTATATTTTATATCAAAAAAATAATAACATTATATAAAAAAAAAATACAATATGTCATAATTATTCAACATGCCAAACTGAATTTTTCATCTTTAAAATTCGATGTATTATTAATAATACATTAAGTAAATAATTAATACATTACATTAATGTCCTTTAAATAAGAATATTTTAAACTATTAATATTTTTACTATATCCCTTTAAAGATTGGTGCAAGTTGAGTATTTATAATTTTAATCAATATAAACAGATAAACACACTTATTAAGTGATAAAATAACTAAATAAATAAGTTTGGTAAAAAAAAATTCTCAATTTAAGAATTTTATTTAATAAAAAGAATACTCAACAACCACAATAGATAAAACAAATTAAAAATACAATAAAATTTAAAACTATTTAGTTCCAAAACTTTTATAGAACTTTTACTTTACATTAAAGAACTATGCACATCACCAATAATTCCAGTATATATTTGATTTTAACATTATCATTAATTCATTTAAATTCAATACATTAAGCTATAACTTAAACAAAATAATCAACGATTATTTTTTGTTAACCTGATTATTTGATTTAAAGATGCTTGGATTAACTTCACAGCACAGTTAAATGAAGAATAAATAAATGTATGGTAAAACACAATAGGTTCTAAAACCAATTTTCTAGACTGACTAATAATCAGTGTACAAATTTGATTACATATAAAATAAATTTCTATCTGGAATAGTTAATATTTATTGTCCTGGCTAAGCCTTATTTTATATTTTATACTTTAAATTTTTTATAATATAAAATGTAAATGTAATCTAGGTACAAATTTTGTTTTGTTAAATGAAATTTTTGTATGAACATGTTTGACTGTTTAAAATTTTACATTTTATAAAGGATTAAAAATTTAAGTCTTGAACTCAATTAGTAAATTATCATAGTATAATTTATTATAAAATAATTATTTTATCAATATTATTTATTATTTATGATAACATGATCACCCTTTATATGTATATAACTTCATTTAATTAATTGTTTTAATTTATTATTATATTATATTTGTCACTTTTAATTTGAGCTGAAACCATAATATTTTATATTAAACAAAAACATAATAACAATGAATTACACACATTTTGTAAACCTTTTTTTAAATTAAAAATAAGAATGAAACACAACATTAAAAAGAAAACTGTTTTAAATTAAATTTTCTATATTAATATACTAAATATATACATTATTCATATTTAATTGATAACCAAAAACTTAAAAAAAAAAAGTATTCTGAAAAATTGATGACAAAACAATTAACCATTTTTTTTTTATATATATAAAAACCAACACAAAATTTGTAATTAATCATTAAATTATAAAAAATTGTATTGCAATAAATTAACATATATAAATTTCCTAGTGTATCTTTTATTATGATGCCGCAAAATTTATTATACTTAATTTTTGACATTATTAAAATCAACTTTGTCATGTTCTACATGTTAGATGGAATGATTTCTGAATTTAAAATATGACTTTGGTTTTTCATTGATGATATAAAAATTTAAATAGAAGGCTATCATCCCAAATTCAACACTATTTCTAGAAATAGAACTCATCGTTCAAAATCACAGTGTTTCACATCACACGATAAAAAATATAATTGATTTATAGTAACTACACAAGTGTCAATAGAGCTTCAGCTTTAACACTCCCCCCAAAAAATTTTCCCTATATTGATCATATATAAAATAAAATATTTTTTTATACCAGTAAAACTGTTAACAGAAATAATTTCTATTTAAACAAATATTCAAGATTTTTAATTTAACCACTCTTCAATAAATTTTAAAATATTTTACACGTCAGTTAAAAAAATTTAAATTTAAATACTTGTAATATGACAAATAACATTAGATTTCTTTAATTCATCATACCTAGTCATAACAAATTCAAAGAAAAAACTATAAAGTTTTTTAAAAACAGCATTCTTGATTTAAATTGATTTCAATGATTTGAAAAAACAAGAAACATGAAGTGAAAGATATATAAAAATAAACACATTAAACAATAATTTTTAGTACTTAATATTATTGTCATAACAACACAAATTTCAATTTAATATAGGTGTTCAACCATAACTTTAGTTCTTTAAATACACATGTTTTAAAATAGTTATGGAAACTATGTAGCTTTTTATTTTTTTGCTTTATGAATCTGATATTATATAATGATAATAGCTAAATTTTTTGTACGATTATTTTATACGACTTTGATAAACTTATAGGTAGTCTAATTTATTAAGAATACTATTCCAAATTTGTTGACAAAAATTTATTTCTATTTATATACTCTATTGTCTAGTGTTCAAAAACATAATTTTAGTAGAACAATAATATTAAAATTAAAAATTAATAATTTAATGTTAAAAAAATTATAGATTTTTTTCTTATAGAAAAAATGTCTACTAATAAGAAATAGAAGTTTCATCAAAAATATCTTTGAGGTCACTGAATAAATTTTTTAATATTTCTATTTTTAAAAGGACTCCTTTATAAATTTTTTATGTAATATATCAAAACATGTATTATAGTCACTGAATTCAAGTTAAATATTCTTTTATCACTATTCACTTTTTAATGTAACACATTTTTATAGTTATTTTACAAAATAATTTATTTATTCATAAAATAACTCTTATTATTATTATTATATTAATGTTAAGATAACTAACTAAGCTAATTTAAAACTATTAATAATCTCTACTTTTTTTTTTTGTTCCATTATAGTTAAAAATAATATACATTGTGAATATTTACATATATATATAAACTTTAAATTTTACAAGCAAAATTTTTAAGATATACAATTATTTAATTCTTTTGTAAATAATAAATAAAACATTATATTACACTATAGACTTGGGCAATATAGCTTATTTTAAAACACTTCTTCATGAATCATTTGGTATTTGCATACACTAGTACAATTGTACAGTACTGTGCATTGGTTTAAAACGCCATATTACCTAATCACACAAAAACTATCAACTGATTAAATGCAGTTTTATATTTAATAAGTGGGATTAAAAAATTTAACTTTGTCTCCCTTAAATAATTTGCTGAAACTATATGCATAGTAAATATCAAGTTTATGGTTAGAAAGTTACTTCTAAGGATAGATTTTAGCGATAACTTTTGAATGTTAAATAGGAACCTAGAATTATTTTTTTTATTATTAATTTGGGAATGGTATAAAATTAAATTTTGAGCAGTCAATAACCAGTTTTGTGTTGCTAATATTTGAGTTAATATAATTTTTAATACTAGGCAGGAGAGGTGTGCAACATAGAAGAATTCTTATCTACTTGTTATAGAGGGTCGCTAAACACTACCTAGCTTTTCAAATTTTCTAATTTTTTTATTACTAATATATTAAATAGTAATATTATAAAACTAATCAGAATTTTATTTAATCCATTCCTAATTTAATAGTAAAAAAATAATTATAGATTCCACTTAACTTTTAAAAATTATCTTTAGAATCTACACCTAGATAATATTTTACACAATAATTTTTTCATTCCAAAAATTTAATATTTATTATGGTTCATAAAAATAAAACAAATTTAAATCTGTACACTTTCGTTAAAAATCATAATTTAACAATAAATGGAGAGGTAGTGTTTTTAATAAATTACACTGTATATAAATTTCTGTATAAGGTACTGAAGCAAAAATGAACAATGTCACAAGAAAGTGAATAACTGTAATACAGCACTTTAAATTATTTTATAAAAAAGTTAAAAGACCTAATAATAAGCACATGTTTCATTATAATAGCAGACATAAAATGTATCAATGCAAAAACAAAAATTTATCAATATTACATTTAAGTATATTAAATTTTTAAAAGATAGATACATCTTTATAAGATATTATCTCAAGTTATACATTTAAAAAAGGTAGATCATATTACACACAACCCCACGTGAATATCAATTACTAATATCATTAATACAAAATAGTACAATATTAGATAACAATCTTAAAATGAGTGCTCATATATATGAGCATATTATTAGTAGCATATTAGAATTTACTGACTAACGCCGGTTATTACTTGAACATATTATTTATTAAAATAAATTACTTATTAATTATTATAATTAAATAAAATATTATTTTCTTTTGAATACATATCTTCTTTAAAAGGTAGAATAAAAACTTGTACGATTAAATATTGTCAAGCCATATAATTTAACTTTATTTATAGATAAATTTAAATATTATTTAAAATTCTAAATATTTTTAATGAATCATAGATTTATAAAAATTATAAATCATATTCTATAATAACTTACCAACCATTCCACTATCACACGCAAAATAATGAATATTCACCTAAGTTAAAACTATATTATGTTATCAGATGATGCTATTAAAAATAATGAAAAAACACATTAAATTTTACTGAAATCATATGAATTAATAGATATGAACTTAATATTTAAACAATAATTAAGATCTTTCATTAACGAAGAAGCATTGTTCAGGTTATCAATATAACATAATTGATACCCGCAACGTCGATATAGGCGTTTAGCAGCCATACGTGTCCAAGGAGAATATAAATACCGTGATCGTGTGAATGTTAGATTATTCTTTAACGTAAAAAATAAAATGAACTATAAAAACCACTTTTATAAATTTTTCCGAGTTGTAGCAATGTTGTATCTACGAACAATTGCATAATTATACGTAGTCATAGTAAGTATTAATGCTTAGTATGGCAACAGTGCAGAATCAAAAAAGGTTATTAAAAACCGTCCCCCAATTTATATCTGATATAGAGAGTGTCATTAATAATAACTAATAATAAGATATTAATAATAGGATAATTTTATGTAGTTAAATTTCTGTTTTCGTCAATATAAGAATAAAAATCCTAAACTTCAATTTTTTTAAATGGAAATCCCTATTTTTAATTTAATAATATAGAAAGAAATTAAAATTAACAATTTTGTTAAAATAATATTTCAACTAACCGTTAGTGTTTTAAGATAGTTTGAAGATTTATATTTTAAGTAAATATTCATTATTAATTTGGTGTTCATTAGACCGCAGGCGACAATAATTCGTTTTGATAGCCTATAAATTATTTATTTTGGTAGTTATTTAAAAATTTTTCTACGTTGCTATGCATTGGTCGATCGACGGATGTACGATTATAAACTAGCATTTAAAAGAAGAGTATATGTCTCTCTATAAATATAAACTATTCAAGATTTTTGTAAGATTCATAAACAGTGGAATAACAATATTAAATTAGTTTAAAATCACTATAAAAAATATAACAAATTGTTACAGATGACGGTTGATCAATGAAAAAAATGCATAAAAGTTTCTATAATAATATAAATAGGGATGTTCAAAAAAAAAAAATTAAAGTTTAGTGTTTTTATTCGAGAAGGGATAAAAAAATCTAACTGCCTAATATTGTAATGTTTATTGAATCAAACAATTTTTCAGATTGTGAGAATAGTAATTCTTATCCTCACTGATCGCTTGTTTTTTCAACAGCATGCACTGGTTTCTTATATCTTAGGAAAATGTTGGTATGGCACCGTAGAAAAAATATTATGTGACCCTGGTACGACGCAATATTATGCGCACAACAGCTGTATTTGGACGCCACTACAATCGGCTGATATAGAAGCCACTAAATACCACCTATAATCACCTTTTCAGTATATAGCTCATTGAGCCCTGGTAATGTATTTCGCCTAAAGTATTCTAACATAAATATTTCAAATACTTTCGGTTGAAACCGCAAGATTTCTTGATCGAAATTAGGTGGTAAGATTAAAAAATTGGATTGATAGAGTTAAAAAAATAATTTTAAATAAAAGATATCTTTTTAACTGCCACTAGTGTTTAAAACACGTTATTTTAATGTTGGCCAATACTTATTTAGAATATATGTAATAAAAGCTAAGTCTGTGGATATGATAGAGACACAACAGTAATTGTCTAAAAAATTCGTCCCAAAAATCACTATTTCTAATGCACTATATTCAGCGGTGTATTATATACAGGCAATATAGGCAACTGCCTACAGCGGCATATTTTAAGGTGCGGCAAATATTGAAGGCAAACAAATTTATAAAAAGCGAGTTATTTTTTTATTGTTGTTAAGACATTATTGACTTCCTAATAATTATAATCGTTTTCATTTATTGTGTATTTATGATATGTATAATAATAGCTAAGTAATATATTTTGTGATTTATTAATAAACATAGACTTGTTTGAAAAATATATTTTTTTTTAAGAAGCATTAGTAGTGTTATGACAAAAATATATAAAAATGAGTCCCCTCCGACATAACATAATGAAGGGCGGCAAATTTTTAAATGCCCATAGGCGGAAAATATGTGAATACGCCCCTGACTATATTATTATTTCTATTTAATGTAGTTTACTATTAACATTTTTTTTATCCAAATACTTAAGCCTAGAATGATATAACTACAATTAGTTTACCAAAACCTTTTGCCGGTATCTCAGGGGGTCAATCCACATCTGCCCCCTATACAACCATCAAGGACAATTTTATGGGATACTAAAGAGGCGTGAATACATCTGAAATTTATGCAACAACTTAATTTTTACTATGTAATCAATATAGAATTTAAAAATTTTTAAAAAATAAAAATTAAGAACTAATATTATTTATTTAAAAGTCAATAAATTAGTATTTTTTCTTGCTCATAACTCATATTTTTAACTATTTAATGTATTTCTTGAGAACTAGCAACAATAACTATACAGGGCCCCAAAGGTAATCATCATTTGCCAATGTTGTCTTAAGTACATTAGTTAGATTATTTTATGAAAAACAGTTGTATTCATATTTGTTTATAATGAATTTGATTAGTTTTATTATAATTATAATTATATAATGTTTTTAAGTAATAAAAAATCAGATTTTTTAAAAATCTTGATGAAAACATTTCAACAATAATTTTTTAATGTATTAATGGTTTCTGAAATAAAATACAAATGGTATTTATTTTTTAAAACTAATTAGGTATAAAAGATAATTAATTTTGGATTAGAAACCTATTTTTTCAGAACATATTAAAAATTTGTGTAAATAGAAAAATTATTTGTTTCAAACATTTCAACAATATTATGTAGTAAAATAATAATCTTTTTAGGGATCAAACCCGTAACTTTAATTTTTTTATGAAGAACACTTATTTTAGACTTTATAATATAGTAGATGAAAAAATAACAAACAATTTTGTTTTTAGACTTTTTTAATTTGGCAACCATATGCGTTTTAAAATAGTTAAACCATTTGGATATAAAGTATAACTGAATTGTTAATTTAGTTATTTTAATACTAGAGGCATCAATAATCTGTTTTAATAGGTCATAGGTAATTCTTTTTACTGTTATCAATAAAAATTTTCCATACCGGTGATTAACAATGTACGATAGTTACTTGCGTTGAATATAAGAGTATGAAACAATTAATAGACATGAATTAAAAATAAAATTTTCATATGTTGGATAACACAAAACTAGTTTATGTCACAAAATGGATAGACAAAGACTTCTGTTATTCTAAAAAAACTAAAAAAAAAATATGTTCTAAAGTGATGACAATATTGTGATTACAATCATTTCAGTTTATTTTATTTAGTAAAAATAATGTCTTATTTTCAATATGTCACGAGTCAAATTCGTAATAACACATAAACTCAAACCGTCATAACTAAAAAGTTTCTACTCATATTGCTATATTCACAGTAACATCCCCTAAGGAAATAATGTATCTGGTAAAAATAATAGCTTGTATAAAATTGGAAAATTGAGTCTTCAATCATTTTTATTATCGCCCACTCGTCTTTTAGAAATGGAGCTCAGATAAGACACATAGAAAACTGTACACGATAAGACACACGACTTTTTCTTTCTTTTACAAGTCGTGTATAATAACTCTCCATCTCTCTCTATTATTTCCATAACAAATAAATATATACAGAGACTCTATAGAGTGAACACGGTATGAAATGTCGTTTAATGAACAGAGAAAACCTTCTGACCAAGTGTACCTATATATATTGCGGGTCTGTGTGTGTTTACGGTTATTTTTTCTCTTTTCCGCAGTCAAAAGTCCATCCATAAAACATTAGTTTCGACGAAAAAGTAAAGGCGCCCGGTGTATGTGTGGAAGGGAACTGCTAACTTATGGATACTGATGACTTTGCTCAATGAGCTTCCCAGACCATATTTCAAAAAAAAAACCTACACATATCGCTTTGAAAGCTTCTACTTCGAGTTTTCTTCCACATGATAAACTGTCTATATGACAAACCCAACCGAATTGTTCCAAATATCCTACACGGTTTGTCATCTTATGGAAGTAAAAATAAAGGCGGAGTTCTGAAAAGAATAGTTTTGATAGTGGTGTGCAACCACTATAAACCTTTTAACTATTTTATTTTTTAATTTAATTCTTCAATTATAATAAAAATAAATTAAAAATAATATATATATATATATATAAAGGTTGAACCTGTGGATTTTCCTCTTATTTTATTTAATTCTTCCATAATGTCTCAATAAAAACAATTGATCACTGGTGGTTAATGTCATTAAAATATATATTTAAAACATTATTTTAAAACTAAAAAAACATTAAAAATATTTAACTCCAAAAGACCCAAATCTATTATCTTTATTTTAAATACGACTTCTATTGTATATTGTTTACATAGTGGAATGTAAATACGAGATGAACAAAAAATGAATGTTACTTAAGTTTATGATAATGAGTTCAATTAAAATGAACACTAAAGGGTCCCTTTTAATTTGAACTCATTATCTCGTTATCATTATACATTTTTGACTTAAATTATAAACCAAAACTGTTCTAGTTTTCTCATAGCAACCAAAGTTACTTAATGTATGAATCAGAAAATAAATTATTCACATTGTATTCTTGTTATATTTTACTAATACATCCTTTATGAATTCTTCCAACAAAGTTGACCTCACTCAGTAAGTGAGGCTTGGTTGGGTTGTTGTTGGTTGGCTAATTTCCCCATTGACTGCATTAAACCAATATTTCAGACAAAAAATTACCTGAAATGAAATTATAAATTTTATTTTTAATAACTCTTCATTAAAAATGTATGGATCCACTTAAGTTCACTACTCTTATAAAATAACAAATGTGTACAATCAGCATTGTAACTTACTAGAGCTCATTTTCAATCATTTAAAAATAGATATAATTACAATATACTTATTGATGTGCTTATTACCAATATAAAATAACATTAGTAACGTGCTCCCCTATTGGATGAGTGTAAAATACTACTTTAAATCTACCCGTGTGCATCGTATATGTTTATTTAATAATCGGATGAAAGCGATACGTGGGAAAATTAACACCGTTTTCTCTATATATTATTCATATAAACGAGCCTGAATTTGCATATACACAAATAAGAACATACTTCGTATAACGACACAGACTTTACCAGATTT